AAACCCTAAACCCTGAAGGTTCTATGCAATCTGGGTGATCCTCCTTGCGATGGTCACAGCCTCGGACTTCAACCCGGAACCCTGTAGCCGACAGCCCTAAACCTCCAAACCCTAGCTGTAGCCGAAAAAAACCTACCGTTTTGGGGTTGCCTATTATGGTCTCTATATAGAAGTCCTTAAAAAGTAGGATTTTGGGGGCCACAGGTAAGCCTGAACCCTCAAAGCTAAACCCCCAAACCCTCAAACCGGTCGTCCTAAACCCTAACCCCGAAGCCTAAGCCCGTCCACCACAAAGCCCCAAGCCCTAAACCCTAAACGAAGCAGGAACCTGGTAAAGAGTCTGCTGCTCGTCATCATTTTTTTGCGACCCTTTGGTTTAGTCTCCCGTTGTTTTCCGTGGGGTTTAGGGTTGAGGGTTTAGGCCCTAAGCCCTATAAATCTTAAACCCTAAACCCTGAACCCCCGGCGTTTCGGATATGTGACAAGGGTGTCAATTATAACCATGGGGGGTTCTAGAGGCTTGGGGTCCAGGGGCTGTATAATGGAGTTTACCTATACTCTCCATTCTAGTTCCTATTCTGGGTTGCCTTGTAGGACCTGAAATATGAAAGGCTAAACCAAAAAAGGAGCTGCAATGGAGACCACGGGTATGCCCTAAACTCCAATCCCTCAAGGCCCGAAACCCCAAACACTGGAATCGTTTTAGGGTTTAAGGTTGTAGTCATAGGTAGGCAACCCTAAACCCTAAACTCTAAACCGTTGCTCTTACAATAGAGCTTGTTGGAAGCAGAGCTTGAAACATCTGCCCTAGCCCCCACCCTAAAGTCACAGCCCTGTAAGGGGTTTGGGGTGTAGGGTGTAAGTTTTAGGGTTCAGGGTGTAGGGTTTAGGCTTCAACAACTTCGTAAGCGCGCCTGGGCAATGGACAGTGGCGAGTTTCAGAAAATCAGGGAACCGATTGTACGCTAAACAAATGGGAAGATCCTTCCTTTGTTTAGGGTTTAGGGTGGAACCCCAGTGGGTCTTTGTTGGCGTGTTTCGGGCCTTTTTCGCGCGTTTACGCTTTGTCGCTGAGTGTCCAAGGGCCCTGCATATAAGCCCGAAGAGTTCGTAATCGCATCCCTTCATCGCCTCTACATGATTCTGCGAGTATATACTTATAAACCCCCCGCCCACCCAGCCCCCGAAGCCGTCCTAGTTGTTCAGCCCCACATAGCAGCGTTGCAAGTGGGACTGTCAGTGCGTCAGAGTCCGAAAGTAGGGGGCCCAATAAATAACCCGCAATCTGACTTTACCCTGGGCATTACCCCAAGGGTCCAAAGGACCCAATAATCATGTAGTTGGGTTACGGATAGTAGTTATGTAGGTTAGTATTTGGGAGAGTATATGATTATTCGGTATTTGGACCCTTAAGGTAAGGACCCCCCCCCCCCCTCCTGACCAGTCAGATACACAATCAGCCCTTCTTAGGACCTCTCCGTCGCAAATAAGGCGTAAACTTGTTTTCGGAAGCTTCCAAGTAACCCTGCATCCATGGAGGCGTCCTTTTCCTCCTTTATTGGATCCATCGGTTCCACTGCAGCACGGCTGACAAAAGCCTTACCTTAACCTACCAAAACCTACTTCTTCGTAGGGTCCCTCTAATTGGCATATTATCGGGTTTTTCATAAGAGCCCATAAAAAGACGTGGGGGTTTTGTAGTTTAAGGTAGGCCCTAGGTCAGCGTCCTTGATTCAGCTCGAAGCCCGTTGCCCTTGCAAGTTATCGCCGAAGCCCATCAAGAGCCTACGCCCTAATCCCTACACCCCGATCCCGAAACCCTCCACCATCTAAACCCCTAAACCCCCAAAGCCCTAAACCCCCCACCGTTAGCTCTAAACCCTATCAACCCTAAACACCATGAGCCCTAAACCCTATCAACCCGGAGCCCTCTCTTTAGCCCCTGATCTTGGCCCCCTGAAGCCCTTCACTCCAAGCCCAAAGCTAGTCTTCAGCCTCGAAGAACTGCCTTGGGGACGACATGAGCCCTAAGAGGGCCGAAGGCTCCTGTACCAGTTTAGGGTTCAGGGTTCATATACCC